AGAACAATAATGTAAGTTTATGAGGATATGGGGGAAAGGGGAATTCTGTCACACTGTTGGTGAAACTCTAAACTAGTGCAACCACTCTGGAAGATTTTTAGATTCCTCAGAGAACTAAACATAGAACTGTCCTATGATGCAGCGATACCATTCTTGGATAGTTGCAAATCCACATTCATAGCTGCACTATTCACAATATCTAAATTATGGAAAGAGCCCTGATGCTCTACAATGGATGTGTAGATCAAGAAAATGTGATACATATATGCAGTAGAATGTTACCCATCTATCAGAAAGAATAATACTATGTCATCTGCAAGGAAAGGGATGGTTATACAAATAAAGTAAGTCAGGCTCAGAGAGACAAACAGTGTGTATTTCCTCTCATGTTGAAGTTAGATGTAAAATACAAATATTCATGAATAACATACAGGATTTTATGCATATACACACAAACAGAATAAATGCTGGTGTACTTAGGGGAATAGTCCAGTGGTATAACTCTTCTGAACAACTAACAAACTTTAACAAAATTAATACCAGGATGTGGAAACATGTTTGGGTTGGGAGGGGAGGGAAAAGGGAGGACAGAAGAGTGAGCCAAATGTAGTCATTCTATTCAATGTATATTATATAACAATTGAACTATGTCACTTGAGGGTAGTGATGGTAGAGAGGAAAATGGGGGAAAACAACAGAAGGAGAAACGAGAGGAAAATGGGGGAAAACAACAGAAGGAGAAACTTTGATGAAGTTGTACTATACTAATAACTTGACTTATGGAATTGAGACCTCTTAATACAACTATATCATCATCTCAAAAAATAAAAATCCCAGTTAATTAATGGGCCTTTGGCTAAATAGACACTTTTCAAAGAAAGTATAAATGGCCAAGAAACACATGAAGAAATGTTTGACATTCCTAACTATAAAGGGAACTCAAATAAAAATAACATTGAGATTTCATCCCACACCATTCAGAATGTCTCTCATCAAGAATATGAACAACAAATGCTAGAATGATGCACGGAAGAGTTAGAACAGTACACTTAGTACACTGTTGGTAGTAATGAAAATTAGTGAAACCAGTATGTAAGGCAGTACGGACGTTTCTCCAAAAAATTTTAAAAATTTACAGTACTACTCTGTATTTGCAAGCCAGAAAACTATAAAGGGGCCTGCATATCATGTCCATTACAATACTATTCACAGTTGCCAAGACTGGCATTTGGAAAAATCCTAGATGCCTTAAAACAGAAAAATAGGTCCAGAAAACATCATATATCTAATTATTAATACTATTATATAAATATTATCAACATATTACAACATAAAATTATTAACATTATTATAAAATGCATTTATGTGAAATTATACATGTCACAGATTATAATACAATCCATGATGCATATATATGATATTAGATATATTTTACATGTATATGTCATAGATGATATTAAGCCATTTGCAGGGAAAGGGTACACCTGGAAAAGATCATATTGAGTGAAGTAAGCCAGGCTCAGAAAGACAAAGTGCATATGTTTTCTCTCATATGTGGATCTTAGACCTAAAACACATACATATACATACTCATGACATTTTGGTCCAGGTTAGCCCAGAACTTCAAATTTTCTGCTCTTAGATTCCTGTGTAGCTGGGATAATAGGCCAATGCTACTGTTCCCAGCTATTGATTGAAATGAAGATCTTGTGAACTTTTTGCTGAGGCTGGTCTAGGACCACTGATCTTGGCACCTGAGTAACTGGGATTACAGGTGTCAGCCACTAGCTTTCGTTTTCTTTTTCTTTCTTCTTTTTCTTTTTCTCAATATGTGTATAAAGAAGTTTCATCTTAACAAGTCCATACACACACACACACACACACACACACACACACAGAGGGAGCTTGCCTTTTGATCTTATCATAAGAAATGTGCAGTTTTTCATACACTCTGAAATCATTTGCATTGGATTCCTGTAGGCTGTTGGTTCAAATCATTTGCTCAAACAGTCACAAACAGGAGAATGGATAAATAAATTATGGCACATTGCTCTAAAAAGACAGATTGCAGACCTCCTACCTTGTACTGCTTCCTTCTGAAAAGTTGGGGCAGTAAAAAGGTCCTGTCTCTAAGCAAGAGCAGATACGTCACTTACCCACAAACCCCCTTTGCCTTCCTTAGAAGATCAGATAGAAACCAGGCAGGAGAGGGGTGAGTCAGCCAGACTCAGTAGGTATTTATGGCGTCAAAAACACAGCTCAAAAATAAAATAACTTGATAAAAGCACTGAAGTCCTTGCATCCTAAGCCGTATTGATCTTTCTTACACAAATATATGCAGTTTGATATCATTTTCACTTGGATTATCTATGAGCTGGGAAATGGCAGACTAAAATATCTTCACTAAAATCACTCTTCTGATGTGAATGTGATCTAGAGGTGAAGATGCCTCCTGTTTAGCGCTCAGGCTTTCCTGATGTTTTCTGTTGGTTTACTTTCTTTTGGTTTTGGCGGTTCTTGGATTTGAATTGGGGGCTTTGTGTTTGCTCAGCTGGTACTCTACTATTGGAGCCACACCTCCAGCCTGGCTTTTTGCTGGTTATTTTGGAGATGGAGTTTAGAAACTTTTCTATGCAAGCTGGTCTTGAGTGATGATCTTCCATATCTCAGCCTCTTGGTTTTCCTAAAGGACAAAGTATTGCCTCTTGGGAGGACACTGTCCCTTGCAGTAGGTTCCAAGTGACAGCATCACTCGACACCTGATGTTCTCATTGCCTTCCTCCATGCTTTCCATTGTCCCCAAAATCAACCCCCAGGTCCCACCAGAATCTCCTACTTCTTATGTCTTATATCTATATGATTTTATTTTTAAATAGTTATACATTTGTCACATGAAGGGGTTTCATTGTGCTATTTCGATCCTCTTCACTTCTCAGTCCACCTTTTCTGCTCCACGGATCCCCCTTTATCTCATGTTCTCTTACCATTATTGCCACTATCATCATGTTAGGTGTATACTCCACAAATTATCTTTTGTCTCTGTGTGTGTATTGATACTAGGTCTTGAACTCAGGACTTGGACACTATCCCTGAATTTTCTGGCTGAAGGCTAGCATTCTACAATTCTGGCTTTTTGGTGGTTAATTGGAGATAAGAGTCTCATGGACTTTCCTACCTTGACTGGCTTCAATCTGGGATCCTTATGTAGTTAGGATTACAGGTGTGAGCTACCAGTGTCCAACCACAACTTATCTTTACCTGTTAAAAACAATAAACTTTCTTTTATTCCTACTCAGGATGTCACTTTCAATATCTTTGGTAGGGTGAGGGGCACTATTGGCAGCAACTGCTCTGTTTTGCAGACTTGTCTGTGAAGGATATGGAGATTCTACCTGGGTCTCGACTGGGTCTTTAGCCTGTTGCTTGGACTGTTGTTTGGTCTTGACTTTCTCATAATCTAAAAACATGATCATCGCTATCTCTGTCTCTGTCTCTCTGGCTCTGTTTCTCTTTCTCTGTGTCACTCTATATGCCTTCTTTCTTATTGAATAAAATACATATTGCATATTGGAAGTCTATCCTTTCACATTTGGACAGACACAAAGGTTGGTCATACTTTCTGCTTCAAACAGTCATAGTTTGTCCTAGCTTTTATGTATACTTGCTTAGAAACCAAATAGATTAAAATTTTATTTCCTCTTGTGAAATGTGTGCTTCTGAAGCATGAGGGGATAGAGCCAGAAAAAAAGGAAAAAAAATATGCAGTACTGGTCCTGGGACTTGAATTCAGGGCCTTGAAACTGTCCCGCAGCTCTATCACTTTGAGCCACAACACCGTTTTTGGCTTTTTGGTAGTTAACTTGAGCATCTATAGGTTTTCCTAGTCAGGCTGGCTTTGAACCACAATCCTCAGATCTCAGCCTTCCGAGTTGCTAGGATTACAGTTACAAGCAACAGGCATCTAGCTAATTTTAATTTTTTTGTGCCAATCTTGGGGCTTGAGCTCAGGCCTGGGACCTGTCCCTGAGATGTTTTTGCTCAAGGTTAGTGCTCTACCAATTCAGCTACAGCTTCACTTCCAACAAGAATGTATTTTAAAGTCAATCCAATACTGAATGATTTTCATATATGAGATTTATGTATCATTGAAAACTCAAAGCCCATTATTTGACATTTATAATTTATACTCTACTTCCAAGATTTGAAATGGTTTACCATCCATTCATCAGGTGGCAGGGGAGTGGAAGGGGGAACAAGAACTCTGTGTGATTGTGGGAGACAGGCAAATTAGCTGTGGTAGAGGAGTTACTTGTCGCTGTGGCTTAGGCCCACATATGAAAGGCTCTGTCTCTAGCACAGTATTATTAAGAAGTGGAAGAATCTTGAGGAGGTGGAGCCTGGTGGGAGATATTAGGTTATCCAGGTTGTGCTGTCAAAGGGGATTGTAGATCTCAGTGTCTGTCTGTCTCTCTGTTCTCACTCTCTTTTTCTTTCTGCTTCTGGGCTGCCTTGAGGTAAGCAGTTTTCCTTACCATGTGCTCCTGCCACAGTGTGCTACCTTACCACAGGTTCAAAGCCAAAGGGCCAATTGACCTTCAGATACCTCAGAAACTGCGAAACAAAATAAAACTTTCTTCTTTAATTTGGTTTATTTGGCAGTAATGGAAAGCTCACTAACACACATGCCTGGTGTTTTGCCTTCCAGAGTTCAGTTGCAGTGGCCTCCAACTTGGAAAAGCCTCTCAGGACAGGCTTGTCAATATCCAGAGATAAACAAGTGTTTACCTTAGCCCCAAATTCTCCTGTGTACTTTATAACATATGCTTCTTTTTAGTACTTCACTTTATCTCCCTAGTTACTTAGCAATGGTAAGTGATTGGATCACCCTCTCCACCCTTTGAGGAAGGAAAGGAAAGCAACAGCAATAACGTTTGTTAGGATGTTATGCTATTCCAATCCTTGCCAATCCTCATGGATCCTAAAATCAGGGCTCAATACTTCTACCTGTACTTACTGCAGAAGATCATCTTTGTGAATGCATTTCTGAGCTCTGGGCTCCGAAAGGCATATATAAAGGGGTCAATGACCGCATTACACATGATCAGCATGCCGTTCACCTGGAAGAGAGACATGTAACAGGCACAGTAAGGGTTACTTGGGCAGAAGGTCATCAAGAGGACATGGAGGACAAAAGGAGCCCAGCAGAAGATGAAGACCCCAAGAAGAATGGTGAGTGTGATGGCCCCTTTCATGTTGGCCCTGGAAAGGGTAGAGATCTTCCTTGCATGGGAGCGAGCCAGTAAGAACATATGAACGTAGAGGCACAGGATAAAGACCAGCATCAGAGGGAACAGTGATGTGAAGGTGAGCACTGTGGGGATGTGATGGGAGAAGATCACCATGGTGATGCCACTCCCTATACAGAAAGTCCAGATGACCGACAGGGTAATGACAGTGCGGCGCATGGTCACGATGCTGTGGTACTGCAGGGCATGGAAGATGGTGATGTAGCGGTCAGCAGCAATCACAGACAGGCTGAAGATGGAGCCAAGAAGAGAGAGAATGAACATGGAGTCTATGATGTCATCGGCTATGGTTTCAAAATTGCCACGAGGCTTGAGATAGCCCATGTTTCTAAATATGATCAGGATATTTTCCAAGATCTTGTACAGGCTACCCAACATGTCAGAAATGGCCAGGCTACAGATGAAAAAGTACACGGGAGCCTGGAGATTCTTGTTCCTCATCACGGCCAGCAGGATGATGAGATTCTCCACAACTCCAATGATGGAGATGGTGAAAAATAGCTCTTCTGGCAAAAGCACACGAGGGCAGTCGGAGTTGTTCCTTGCTGTGTCATTGATGTTTTCATATGGATTGATAACATGCCTCATTTTTCTTGCTTGGCGTAGAGACAGGGATGGTACCTGGAGTTGACCTCACAGAAAGCTCCAGTGGTTCTTCAAGGATGTTTACTTCTTTGTAGTACTTGCTGGAGATCTGAGGTTAAAATCACTCATCTGCCTAAAAGAGAATATAAAAATATACTCATTGAAAAATAGGCTACAAGCTAGGCACTGATGGCTCACACTTGGGATCCTTGCTACTCAGGAGGCTGAAATCTGAGGATTGTGGTTTGAAGCCATCCTGGGCAGAAAGGTTTGTGAGACTCTTTTCTTCAATTAACACCTATCCCCACCAAATAGCATGAAGTGGAAGGGTGGTTCAAATGACAAAGTGCCATTCTTGAGTGAAAAAATTAAGGGACAGTGCCTAGGCCCTGGGTTCAAGCCCCAGTACTGGTGTGTGCCTGTACCATGAAAACATACCATAAAAACACACATTATTGAACTTATTAATATATCCATATATAAAAATCTAAAATTGTATATGCACCACCAAGTAGGTATTGATTTTCTTCTAATTAGATGGTAGGATGCAAAGGAAGATAAAAATGCCAGCTGTGGAAATGGTGACTCTACCTCCATCGGTTACCAAGAACTGCTGTCTGGTTTTACTGTATTCCAAAGAAGTGACACATTTTTCTGGGAAAAGTGCTGGATATATTCCAAGAACAGAGTTGGTGTTCACTGTAGGTATTAAAGTTAAATCTGATCCCAGACAACTGATCCTACCATGGTGCTCAGCCTCTGGGGGAGTTTATGTTTTTAGTGATGACATATCTTGTGGCTCACCACTTGTCTACTCATTTTTCTTTCTCTTAAAAACATTTGAATACTCTTGGAAATGTTCCAAAATTCTTGGACGAGAAAAGAGATATGGATATGTGGGAGTCAGAGAGACAGAATGAGGAGAGAGATAGAGAGGATGAGGAGAGAGAGAGAGGGAGACACACACACACAGAGACAGAGAGAGAGATACACACACAGAGAGAAAGAATATATTAAGATTAAACTATGGCCCAGCATTGGTGGCTGTTAGCTAGCTACTTAAGAAGCTGAGATCTGAGGACTGCAGTTCAAAGCAGATCAATCTGAGAGACTCATCTCCAATTAACCAGCAGAAAACCAGAAGTGGAGCTGTGGCTCAAGTTGTAAATCACCAGCCTTGAGTGAAAAAGCTCAGGGACAAAGCCCTGGTCCTGTGTTCAAGCCCCCATATGGGCACGAGAACAAAACAAAAGATTAAACAATGACTTGATTTTACTTAGGGACAGGTAATCTTCTGCGTATTACTATAGCATATTTATTCTAGAAATTCAAAAGCATTTTGTAAAAGTTAATTTTTGTTGTGATCTAAGATAAGTAATCACTGAAATAAAGTATATCACCAAAAATATAGATGCTCCAACACTTTGTTAACTTCCTAAATATGTAAATGGAGACGGTTCTTAATTTATAAAGCTTTTACACCATGCTTTGGATTACCTATGATACTGCATACTCTTCCTGTCCACAGCCTGGCACACAGTCGGGCTTAATAAAAGCTATTGATCTCACTCATCTGAAGTCTAAAAGAGTTAATTTCATAGAAGTTAACAATAGAACACTGAGCTGGGGAGGTTTGGTCAATGGCTGGGCACTTTAATGGGTAATAGTTAGACAGGAGGGATAAGTTCTGATAAATTATTACATCATAGCGTGATTAAAGTAAAAAAATGTATATTTCAAAATAGTTGGAAGGAAAAGATTCTGAATGTTCTTACAAACTTTTCTTTGAGGCAGTACGTGTGCAATCACTGGATCCAGTCACTACACAGAGCGCACATGCCTGCCACCATCTCCCTACTCCTCATAAACACACACAGCTGCCATGGGTGAGTAACGAAGTCTTTTTATGATGTGGCAATTAAAAAAAAACCTAAACCCCTGCTTTCACTATATTTGATGTCAGTATAACTTGTGGAGGAGATGGGGAAAAACCAGTTGTTTAAGGATACAGGTGGACCTGTTGCAACAATGAGAAGTACAAGTTGTCATGTCCAAAACGAGCTTTACAACGTCGGTGCAGGGGGGGGGGGGGGGGAAGGAGGGGAAGGAGGGGGGAAGGAGAAGGATTGGGATTGGGGGGGAGGGGGGAGGCTGGGAAGGGAGGGGAAGGGTAAACAAAGGAGGAGGCTGCAATGCTTGGTAAGAAATGTACGCATTATCCTGCTCATGTAATTGTAACCCCTCTGTACAGTATGTTCACAAATAAAATAAAATTAAACTAAAAAAAAAACCTAAAAACTAAATTTGCAACTTACACAATTAACAAAAGAAATAGGCAGAGAGATTCTCAAATACCACCACCACCACCACCAAAACACAATTCATCTTCACTGCTTTCAAAATAAAATTTCATTTTTAAAACATGTAGAGGCAGAGGCAGGAGGACTGTGAGGCAAGCCTGGGTTAAATAGTGAGATCCTGGCTCAAGAAATCAAGGGAGTGGAGTGTAACTCAGAGGTAGAGTGCTTGCCTACCATGTACAATGGTCCTAGATTTCAACCACATGGCCATGGAGGCTCTCTAAAATCTGTCTGAGCTGGGTGCCAGTGGCTCACACCTGGAATCCTAGCTACTTAGAAGACTAAGATCTAAGGATTGTGGTTCAAAGCCAGCCCAAACAGGAAAGGCCGTGAGACTCTTATCTCCAATAAACTACCCAGAAATAAAGCCAGCCCATGTAATAGAGTGTTAGTTTTGAGCAAAAGAAGCTCAGGGACAGGGCCCAGACCCTGAGTTCAAGCCCCACGAGAGGAAAAAATAAAATAAAATCTGTCTGAAAGCTGTTTTCTTTCTGGCCTTTCAGTGTTTTCCATTGTGAATGAGTTTCTTGGCTCAAGGATGCGTCACTTATTTTTGCCTTTCATGTTTGTTGTAATACTGTCCTCCTCTGGAATTCTTTCACCTCTCCTCTCCCTATTTAAATCCATCATACCTTTCTTTAAGCTCAAAGTCACCATCAGATTTTCTGAATGTCTCTGCTCACCGTCTCGTCTCACATGTTCTAGAGAGCATGTTCTCCAGGGCCTGCAGTGTATTTGTGTTCTTGCCTGAGTCTTGCCGTGTGGCCTACTGTCCTCGTGGGAAAGGTCAACACAGATAGTTGTGTCTTGTCTCCGGAGCAGACCCAGATGCCCTGGAAGGCTGAATCCCTTATTGAGGTGCCCCATAATTATTTGCAGATGTGTGAAAAATGTATATAATGTCTATAATCTGAATAATTGGCAGTTTGTGTTTCTAAAAAGATATGTTTAGAAAAGTAGGTAAAAAGTGTGAGGTGCCGAGTGTTTTTTTACCCCACATGTTAGAGACTTAAAGCTTTAGTGGAGGTCGTTTGAGTTATTAGATAATGCTTCTATCTACAAGAGATCAGAATGTTGCTTTCTTTTCCTTTTCCTTTTCCCTTTCCTTTCCTTTTCTTTCCTGGTAGTGGGAGCCTTCAATCTTTTAGGAAAGGTGAAGCATAGGTTCTGTGGACCCCAGAAAACAGCTTTCTTATAGGAGCCTGTGTGGGCCAAATGTCTCCTGGGTCAACAGAAATGAAGAGACCTTTGTGTAAGAGCCAGGAAAGTTTTTCTCAAAGTCAGAGGGACATCTTTTTTGTCTTTAAAAAAGATGTCAGAATTAGACTTCTTAGTTTTGAACATCAAAAACAAAGAATTTGCTCAAACCCTGGGAATGCTTACTTTTAGGAAGAAATGAGATGGTGAATATTTTATGAGAAATGCGGAAGTAGAGTCAAAACAAGTCCTGGCCAGAGCCAGTGTCCTGAGGAGGGCCGTTATGGGATCAAAAGTGTGCCAGAGTATCCAAGAGCGGATCTATGAGACGTTCTCCCCAGGGCTTTGCCTTGGCCACTTGGACTCCAAATTCTGTTACAAGAAATTCTCAATAGCGACACCATGTGGCACTGAGTGGTAAAGACAGTAGACTGTCCTTGCTTAGTTTACAACTGTTCTTTAATTAATTACTTCAAGTATTAAGAAATATGGTTCTTTTCATCACTGCTTTGTGAGAAACTCACATTGGTTACATTAGATCTATGTTACATAGAAAAATGTGTGAGATATTCAGGTTGCAAAGCAGAGTCTCAGACTTTTCTCCCCAGGTTGGCTTTGAGCCACAATCCTCAGATCTCAGCCTCTTAAGTAGCTAGGATGGTATGAGCCACCAACACTGAGCTCAAAAATACTTTAAAAAATGGTATCTAGACTAAACACGGACAGATTTTTTTGTTGTCATCATTTCTTAAGTAATGCAATTCCTAAACTATTTACACAGCGTTTGCATTGTGTTTGATATTGCACGTTAGAGATGATTTAGTGTGAAATGGATGTGTATGGATTATATCACATCCTTGTATCTAAGGAGCTGTGGATTTCGGTATGCATAGTGATGCCAAGGAATGTCCTGTAGCATGCCTGAGATGCAGCTTAGCATCTCCACCGAGGCTGAAGGTGTGAAGCTGAAACCAGCAGGGCCCCGTGGGGAATGCTAGTTCTAGCTGTGCAGAGGATGTTTCCACTCGTGTCCTGCTAGATACTGTGGGCATGGCAGGCAGGGAGGCAGCTGAATGTCTTTTTGCATCATCTCTGCTTCTTATTACAACAGTGTCACCTCAAACCATGCTGGGCTCAGCAGTGGAGGTGTCTGGATGTCCCATATACCCTTGTGTGTCTGTGGGTCAGCCTGCCACTCCTTGGATGCCTTCTTAGATGACAGCACTGTCTCCAGAGAGTTCTTTCTTTTTTAGCCTCTCTAATCCTCTACCCTGAAGATATTAGTTCATGGAAACCTATTATTTATGATTTATATGTAGTGCTCTAGATTCGCTCAGAAGGGAACCCAGGCAGGTGCAGTTGACTTGATTGAGAACCTGAAGCAAGAAACCCCAGAGTGAGGGCATGTCACTGCTAGCAGGGAAAAGGCCAGCCACAGTAGCAAGG